CAGCAACACTGCAATACAACAGCTGACACACTATCACAAAGAGCATCCACTCTCTAAAAAGAAATCATCAAAGCCTTCTCACACTGGTTGGTTTGAAAAAGAAAAGGTTAATCTGAAGACAAGTCTCTTTAACTTTTGTGTGTTTGTCTTACAGGTGATGTGACGATTTGGCCTTTGAAATCTTCCTCTATCTCCACATCAGATTTGTGAGCAGATGGAGGCTCAGCACACCTGGACACAAACATCAGGCACAGCCATGATTAGAAGTTTCTCGTGTTTCATTTGAATGGAGCAATATTACATCAGACAGCTAATGTCTTCACTCCTCGTTTGTAATCAAAGTTTGTGTACTTCAGGAAGGATCAAGTCTGCAATAAACTGGTGCATTTGAGGAAAAGAGAGGAAATTACTTGTTGGAGCCAGATTCCTGTTTCGCCTGTTCACATAATTCTTCTGCAAAAACAGAAAAGAAGAGAAAGTTCTGATTCTGACATGCTGCACTTGATAACTGAAATCTGAAATGTTGGTTCAGCAAAGCTAAATATTAACAACATTACAGACAAACTGAGTTATTGGAACAAATAAAATAGTACAGAACATCAATTTTATTTTTTGCTAAATATATTTCATTCACAGATTTTCTATCAAGAATATGCTGACACAATATGTGTAATCTTCCTTACTGTAGTTGGTGAAATTTGCTAGAAAGTTGTACGCCATCCGTGTTTTGTCGGTGATGAAATCATGATTAATCTCGGTATTGAGGATGCCGTAGTCTGCGTCTTGTGTGTTTGGGCCATCACTCAGGTCAGTGCAGCAGGAATCCTGCAGGCTTGCAGGTGAGCACAGAATAAGCTTCTTCTCTCCTACCTGAACATCACAACAGGAAAAACAAAAACAGAAAACAGAAATTATCATAATAATCTTGAATTTAGCTAGTGTAGTGTATGCAGTGTACAGAACATCATATAAATTTCACATTTTGTTATATGGCTTTTAGAATGTGGTGGTGGTATATTATTATACACATGCTCTTTTTCCACATCTTTCATTTAACTACCTCACGCTCATTTTTTAGTTGAGTTCTCCTGAATAATGGGTGTCAAATGATGAAACAAAAACAAAAAAATGCATTTAGAACCCACACTTAAATTTAAAAATTGTTATCACTTACTGTCAGCATTAACTGGTCCAACAGTGGCTCCCAGTCCAGACAGAAATTGATGTCCCCCCCTGACTCAAGTCCAAGGTGCTTGAAGGTAATCACTTCAGACCTCCTACACTGGGCTGTGATCTGCCCGTTGATGGACAGAAAGCTCTCATTGGCTGAAATGGAGATTCCTTTACAGCCAGTAGAGATGTTGAGGTTCAGGCTCAGGGGGTTGTTGCCATGGCGCCATGTGCCGCAAAAGTTCCAGTCCAGGTCATTGTTACTGGAAACTGTTAAAATACAGCACACAGTATTATTTAGCTAATTGGTTCTCCCACTTGTTTTGACAATGAAAAATTTCATCTACGTCACAATGGTATTAGTGACCAGTCCAGATGCTAAAAACAACCCTCTTGCTGCACTCTACTGTATGTGCTTTCATCCTGGTGGTAGTTTAAGGGCAGGGATTATCCAAGAGAGAGAAGTTAAACATTTCTAAAGTAGACCTCTTGCAGGGACTTTGCAATGTGGACCACAAG